ACCTTTTTCCAGCCCCATGAAAGAAGACATGTTTAGAGGACAGAGGCGTGAAGGGGCTAAACTGGCCTTTTGTTGTATGACTTCCACGCCTGGCTGCTGAGCTCAGCCACTCCCTGTTCTATTCTGAAGAAGGGAGGCAAAGTCCCTTCTTCAGAATAGATTTGCCTGGAGCTGGTTTCCGTGAGAAGTTTAAAACTGACCCACCCTGGCTCTCCCCAGGGGGAATGAGGTGCCCTTGCCATACTCCATAGCCGTCATAGCCAGAAAATAACTTCTGCGCTGAGGTAGCATCATGCCAAATCCACAAGGATGCAGGGATGCTGCCCTTTTGAACGGCTGGCCACAAGAAGGGAAGTACTGATCAGCTCCCTCTTTAATTCTTCTCCGAAGAAATAACATCACCCATCGTACAGTGCTGCAGAAGGAAGAGGAGGAAGCTTGCTGGTGTACTCTGTGGGGCCTATTCTTATCCCTTGTTGCCTCCTGTCTCCAGGCACAGCTCCCCTGAGCAGCATCCACCAGCTCCTTGGCCTTCTTTGAGAAGCAGCACGCATTTCCCAGTGTTCTCTGCTCAGCGTCTGTCCCTGAACCCCTTGCTGTGAGAGCCAGTGACTTCACTCCTATTTGCATGAATACCATGGCTCAGCCTTAGTCTGTCCTTGCTGTGAATGCCATTACCCCAGCCCTTGCTCAGCTGCACAATGCCGCTGGCTCAGACCGAGACTCCAGCCTCAGGGGGACAGCATGGACTGCACACTCCAGCTTCCCCTCCTCAAGCAAATGTTGTGGAGGGGACAATGTGAGGGTCCCGAGCTTGGCCTACCTGCTCCACTAGCAGATCTGGCCAAGTGCAGAGGGGGAATGAGCTACTCCCTGAGAATGGCTGCTGCTCTCCTCCCCATCCCCAGAAAAGAGGTGCTGCAGTGATTGTGCCTGCCTTCCCATGGTGCAGCTGCATTTTCTTTCCTGCAGGGCAAGCCAGGGCATTACAGTCTCCTCAGCCAGTTGTAATAGGTATGTGCTCACCGCACTGGATGAGTAAAGGTGAAACTCCTAGAAGTGTTTTCCCCCCACCAGTGTCAAGCACAGATAGGCAGAAGTGGTGTTAGTACTCGTTTCCAACACTGGTGTTGCTGTTGGCTGTAGCATGGCTGGACAGGGTTATTCAACAAAGAAATCGTGTAATGGCCTGCTAGCTGCACCACTGCATGGGATTGGGGCACAATTCAGAAGCAGCACTGTGAACACATGCAGTATTTGGCTGTACTAGCATTCGAAAATAGTTGTCCTCCCAACTAGAGGGTCCAGGGAACAAGCCAAGACCCTGGGACTTGTCAGTGTGCATTGCCTATGAACAGACTGCAATTCATGCAAGCTTGCTTGTTCTTTGCAGTCATTCAGAGACAAGCATCTTTACTGAACAAGCATCATTGTCTGGGTGGCTTGAGAGCCACTCCCTGCTGCTTTTCTTTCAAGTTCTGAATAGTTACCTGTATGAGTGGTGTGATTGGTCAGCTAAGTCACGTGGTGTGGTTCTGGTTTTCTAGCTAAATGAACTGTCTATTAGAAGCTCTTCCATCTTTGCTGAAGCAAATTATTGATTTGCAGTTGAACAAACCCTGGCTGAGGCCTGAAACTTTGATTTCTGGAAACAATCAAGTCGGCAACTCTTTGCTCTCACAGTTGCTATTACATATCACCTTGCTAGCTTCCAAGGTACACTGCAGGAGTCATTCTTACTTAGGCCTAGTCCTTCAGTCCTTCAGGGAGACTTCTGTCCAATGCAGCATAGGGAAAGCCTACCAGGCCCTCCTCTGCCTTCCTTTCCCTCAAGCTTGACTGTTGTTTTTTTCCTTTTCCCTGCAGAGCTGGCTGTGGCACAGTGCACACAACGCCCTGTTGACATTGTCTTCCTGCTGGACGGCTCTGAAAGAATTGGAGGAGCAAACTTCCAGAAGTCCCACATCTTTGTGGAGGATGTGGCCCGGCGCCTCACACTGGCCAGGAGTGACAATGACAATCTGAATGCACGGCTCGCCCTTCAGCAGTATGGCAGTGAGAACCAACAGCAAGTGATCTTCCCTTTAACATACAACCTGACTGACATCGCAGATGCTCTGGCTGGCATCAAGTACATGGATTCCTCTTCCAACATTGGGTCTGCCATCATCCATGCCATCAACAACATTGTCAACAACCCAGTGGACAGGCAGAGGGTCGCTCGGCGCAATGCTGAGCTCTCCTTTGTCTTCATTACCGATGGCATCACAGGGACCAAGAACCTCGAGGAGGCCATCGACTCCATGAAGAAGCATAATGTCATGCCCACAGTGGTGGCCATCGGCAGTGATGTGGACATGGATGTCCTGCTCAAGATTGGCCTTGGGGATCGGGCAGCCATATTCCGGGAGAAGGACTATGCCAGCCTCTCCCAGCCCGGCTTCTTTGACAGGTTCATTAGGTGGATATGTTAGTTAAGGGGACAACGTATGTTCTCCTCTCATCAATACACACCCCCAGATATTACTTGTTTTGTTTTGTTTCCTTACCTTTGTATGTCTGTTAGCAAAACTCCATGCAGGCCTAAAGCAGTTCATACAAAACTGCCCTCTGGATTGCCAGTGTTTTTTTTAGCTGCAAGTTGAAGCTGATGTTAATTATCACGAGGAACAATGATCTATCTCACATTTATGGTGCTAATTAAAACCAAGTTCAAAGGATACAGAGCCATACAATATAATTTGCAATGCCTTAAGCAAACTAAATAATGCCTTTGTGTATGTACTGTAATCCCATGGGTGCTAAACAGAGGAACAGCAAAGCTCCCAAATTCAGCCGGATGAGTGATAATTTCTAATGTCCAGGAATTTATCCAACCTCCCCACCTGGCCAAACATTTTTTGGTGGAGCTTCATGCATCCACTTCCACATCAAGGTCATTGCATCTGAGCTTTTGCTGCATCTGAGCTCTTGGTGCAGATGACTCATAATTCCAGAAACCAAGCCCAAAGGCCTCTAAGCTGGTCTGTGCACTGAGCTTGGACCTCAGGTTTATTGACTGTTAAAGGCAGCAAGAGAAAAATAATTCCCAAGGCTTTGTCAAGTTCCGTCGGGGAGCGCCCTCCCTTCTTTCTTCTCATCTCCATACTCCTGCCGTCCATAGAGGGATATCAGGGGTAGATTGTCTCTGACACACCATGCTGCATCCTGATGTGGCCCACAAAGTAAACTTCCATTTGCCTTGTCCTTGGCCTGCCTGTTTTTTCCCCCAATAGTGATGAGGTGGGCTAACCTAGCTTGGGGTTTTAACCATGTCTCATGCAGATGTTTCCAGATGCCCATTTGAAGGCTATATCTACTTTTAATTTCATTGGCCTCCTTATGTATCCTTATGTTTCTACGGACTGTCCTTTCCTTGCTTCCTTCTGCTTCCATCACCCAGCCTTATAAGAACCTGTGTATTTAATCCTTGCTGTGAGGTCCAGCCTACATCCCAGCTTGAGGTATCAAGCCAGGTGACTCGATGCTGTCTGCACTAGATCACACTCGCAAGTGAAACAAGGAAATTGCACCTAAGTGCATTCTTGAAATTGGCATCTCCTGAACAGCATCCTGATAAGAACCTCTGTTGTGTTCTTTAAGAAATAAATAAATAAACTCTTCTTTCTTCCTACCCTATAAACATATTGTTTATTATTTAAGGGGAAGGGGGACAGTGAATAGTATGTTTTAAAATGAAGGCCAGATATCCCCAGCTAGTGTCACTAAGTGCATCTCCATCGTACTCAGTGGGTCAGACTCCAGTTGGTATTAACTAGACATCTCCACTGAAGAAAACAAACTGAAGCCCTCAGTTGGTGTGCGTGGGTAGATGCACCACCGCAAAAGCCAGTGGACCACACCCACCAGAAATGCAAGTCATCTGTAGCTCCCCTGATGTCCTAGGCTCCTTTAACACTTGACTCTGGCTCTGAGTGACCCAATGGCAATGGGAGCCTGAGGCTATTTTGAAGCCTCAGTTCCATATGAAAATCACTACTGGGAATGAAAAGTTTTTTCCTGATATTTCCTGCCAACTGCAGAACATTATTTTTGATTGGACACAAAGAAGGGAGGCAAAGGCTGCATCTCAACACCACCCTAAGCTACCTACAGGACACTATAGGTATAAGTAAGGGGAGAGAACCAGAAAGACCAGCTGGGCCATTCCAGACCATGCCTTGCACTCCCCCACCCAACATACAAAACCCCATAATTTCCAGAGAACTCACAATTACCCGTTAGAGTTCACTAACCATGTGCTCTGCTCTGTCGCTGCAACACTCTCGCAGGTTGCCACCTTTTACAGAATCGTAGCAAGAGAACAGAAGGGTCTTGTTCTCTTGCAAGCCGGTAGCTGAGACTCTACAGATTTACCAGGAACCCCTGGCAAGAGAGCAATGAGGTCTTGCCAGCAAAGTGGCCTGACATGAAATTTTAGGCAGGCAAGGGGATTGCTCCAGTGACTAAGACTTAAGTTTTCCAGGACTGGCTTGTAGGTACATTTGGAGATTCCTACAAACAGAACAGGGTGCCAGTATTTGTTACTGCTAGATACAGTACTGTATTGTACATGCTAATATAGGGCTGGGCCGAATGGGCAAGGAGGACCTCATGAGAGGCTGAGGAAAGATCCCACACTTCTCATATTGTAACCATGATGGTAAAGTCTACAGCTGCCTTAGAAGGATGAAAATTAGGCCTTTCACCCCTAATAATTACATACCATGGTCTGGTCATACACCATGGGAGGACATATGATAGAGAAATGACTGTTCTGTTCCAAACAGCCAACCTCCTGTACTGGAGCTGAAGGATCACGTTGTACACAGCCTGCCAGCAGGGTCAGTAATTCTCATCAGCCGTGACCACAGGAGTTCATGTTTCCATGTAAGCTGCCCAGTCGCACAGTCCAGCAGAGGGCATTGTTGTACAAGATTCACTCACAAGACAGTAAATCACCATCCATTCACAGCCGGAACGTTTAATCATTACATTGTTATATGTGGTCCCTTTGCATCTCAGCAGGGATTAGAGAATGAAACCCTCTAAGACAGAGAATTTTCTGTAAAGACATGGTGAAAACTTCAGTTCAGGATCCTAAAATGTGTCCAGCCGGAAATGTCAGAGGCCAGAAACAGGAAATCGCTACGCACCAGGTTACACAAAATTCATTCTGAAGGGGGTGGAAAGGGGAATAGAAGAATGACTTGGTAGAATAACAGCGCATTCCTAAATTAGATTCTACTTCTGTTGCATCACCCATCTCGATCCAGGCTGAGAGGAGAGGTCTTCTTTAATCAGAATCAGAACTGCTGCTGCTGCTTGAGCCACTGCTTTTCTGTAGGAAACATGGATTGAAGCCTATTGGGTTATCATCAAAACACCCCTAGCCCACGTATACAGGGATGTCAGTTGTAGCCGTATTGGTCTAAAGACACAGGCCAACAAGGTTCTTTGACCAACTTTAAACTTAGTTGGTCCAATAAAA